CAAATGATAGGAGAAATCCAGGATCGAGGTTTGGCAGGCAGGGATTGAATGCCAGGATGAGGATTTTGTATTTTGTCCTAAAGCCAACTGGAAGTCTGAATATTTCTGAATAAGGCAGAAATGCACTCAGAATTGAGATTAGGAATATCAGTTTAGCAGTGGTTTGGAGTATGAATTGGAGAGGAAAGAGGGATGATAATTGAACCTATGGGGGCTGATGAGATCAACAGGTAGTTGTGATGAAAATTATGAAAGAGCAATTTAAAACTTAAATTAAGTTAGTTATATGTTAGCTATTATTTTTAATTAAACACTGATTTCTGGTCCTATATTTGATTCTCCCAAAAGACAACCAAGAATATTTCAAGAAATCTGTGGACTAATACTATCATAGCATCAGAACTGGAATAAATGAGTAAATGAATATATTTGCTACCTCCAAAGAGTGCCTTTCTTTCTGAATGTCCCAGCACAAAAATCTGTGTTTTGAATGGATTTTCTCCCCACTACTCCCTAATCAAAAAAGGTGGTACAGCATGCATTGATATCAGTTCCATCTGGGAAGATAGTTACCAGGCATTGCTCTCATTTTTTTAGAGCTTAGCAATGGTGAGTAGCACTTCTCATAATACAAATGGGGAATGTTACTAGAACAGGTGTTTGTTCAATCATTAATCCCTGCAGCCTAGGGAAATCATTTTAGCAAAATACTTCATCACAGAACATCACTATAAAATCTTTTAGGTGTGAAGACTCCTTTCCTCCTTACCTGTTTCCCTACAAAGAGACTGGACAGACAGCCTACTCTCCTTCCTTAATAATCCTCAACACCAAGATCTTTCCCTATAGGCTCTTGGGCAGGAGGGCTTTTTTTTTGTGAAGAAGACTTGATTTTCATCCTGAGAAAGCCTTGATATCACCAACTGTAAGTCATAAAATCTCTGAATAAATTTAATCAAGATGGACCCCCCAGGTTTCACAGGGACATTCTGTGTATATCTCCTTGGGTAAGTCATGGCATGTCACTACTTGGTAATGAATGCCAGCTGTTTCTAAGCCCAAAATTAGTGTTAAGGCAGCCATAGTCACAGGTCTCAATCCCCTTGGTATCCCAAGCCAAAGCAACACAGAGAACTAGGGTTATTTTCTGGGTAATTTGGAAATAAGTTTGGTTATAGGTATTATGGTATAGTTGAAAGAATAAGTTAAAATTATATAAAATGCTTTTACACACTTTTAAAAATAAAAATACTCCTTTATTAAAGCAACCAAGAATAAATATTAACTAATACTAACATGACATATTTTAATGATATGAAAATAGAGTGATCTTTAAAGAAATTCAAATGCTGAAGAACAACTAGGTACCTTCAAATGTTCTCAATTACTACTTAGGCTAAACGTTGATTTCCCCCAGGCTTGAGTATAACACAACTTTCTAACAGCCCAAACTATTTTGGGATTTAGGCACTTCTAGAACTTGTCTGCACCTCCTAGACTTTCATCATTTTGGCCAAGAGTCAAAACACTCAGACTTTTTCCTGCTAAAGACTTGAACGAGTCCTCCAGAGATCAAGGCAATTGGATTGAAGCGGACTTTTTCACTTAACCAGGGGTGCTCAGCACCTTTACAATCTAAGTACTCAGTCCCTTCCTATCTCCTTGACTTTCTAATTATTGCAGGAAAGTTGTTGCTTTCCCTATAGCACTGATTTGCTTTGGAGGGAAAGAAAATAGCTCAGTTTAGGGTATTTTAAATCTGAGGGACTGGTGGGTCATCCAAGAAAAGCTATCCTATAATCAGTTGGAGATTTAGATGTGGACATAAGAGGAGAGGTTAGCACTGCAGAATTGGTTCTGGGTCCTACTTGAGGCAACTAAGCAGCTCGATAGACAGAGTGCTGGGCCTTGAGTCAGGAAGACCTAAATTCAAATCCAGCCTCTGACACTTAGTGGCTATGTGACCCTAGGCAAGTCTTTTAACCTTTGCCTCAGTTTCCTCATTAGTAAAATGGGGAGATAATAATACCTTCCTCCTGGGGTTGGTGTGAAGATAATATGAGATATTTACAAAGTACTGTGAGACCCTTAAAGAATTATAAAAATGCTAGTTATCACCGTCATTATCATCATCATTATAGTGGTAATTAAAGTGATGGGAGTGAATGAGATTTCTAGGGGAGAGTAAAAAGAACTGAGCAGGACACCTCCCTCAAAGAGGTGAAGACTCATTTAAACAGACCTTAACAAGGTCTTCAATTCAATTTAACAAGCATTTTTATTAATACTAGAAGGACAAGGTGCATAAATAGATGTGAAAACATTTATTGAAATTTTACTTTGAAATAGGTTTTCTTTCTATCTCTATTTTCCTTACCCTGTAGTTAAAAAGAACATGCTGCGCCAATTAACACAGATTCAAGGTATTCTTAAATTCTGTTCCTTCTAGTGTGTCTAGCCGTCCTCTGGGAATACAAAGAAAAGAAGAAATACAATCCCTGAACTCAAGGAGTTTACATTTTGTTGGGGGGCAGGCAGTGGATAATGGTTATACCAATAAGTAAATACAAGATCATTTAAGATGAAAGCTAGGGGGATAAGGAAAGCTTTCAGCACCCAGACTGGACCTTGAAAGAAGCTAGAAACCATTTCATCAATAATAAAATGAGAAAGAAAGGTTTCTTCAAAGACGAGTCACCTAAGTTAAGTGTTATTATTATCCCAACCTTAGAGATAAGGAAACTGAGACCAGGGTCTAAGTGACTTGCCCAAGATCATATAGCTAGCAAGCACCTGAGGCAGAATTCAGTTTTAAACTTGACTCTAGGTCCAGCACTCTACCCACTATGCTACCTACTACCTAAGGTTGCAGATTTGGGTTCTAGACCTGGGTTCTACCAATACCTATCTATGAGACTGCAGGTAAATCACAACTCTCCTCTGAGGCTCAATTTCCCTATATGTAAAGTCAGTATAAGACCTCCTTTACTTACCACACATTGTGAAGATCAGCTAACATCTTCAAACCATTATGATTGGCTCTACCCTTAACCTCCAACTAGGGACTCTGGCTCCCACCCTTGGGCACCATGCTCCTAATTGGTCAGAGTTCTTGACATCTAGCCAGACCTAAGCTGATCTAATAATCCCAGGGACTTTGCAGAACAAAACAAACTTCCCTGGCCACCACTCCCCTAAAAGCATTGTCTTCCTCTGTTAGAATATACAAATTCCATGAGGACAGAGACCGTGTTAGTTTTTATCTCTGTAACCTCAGTGACTAACAACTAGCATATAGTAAGCACTTAATAAATGCCATTATGTTCATTCACTCAAAACATAGTTGATCCAACTTCAAGACAACTCGATAAGGGTGAGTTCTTATAATTTTTCTATGAACAAAAACCACCTTCAGAAAGAGTTTTAGGGATAAAGACCTGGGTTCAGATCATCCTTTATCCAGGTTTCCCTCAAGTAGCACAATTTCCCTCAAAACATTCCTCAGGTGCTACCTTCTAAATGGAGCCTTTCTGCCCTCCCCTCATTTTTAATGCTTTTACCCTTTTTGTAAATACTTTGTATTCTTTTGTATATACTTTGCGCTTATTTATCTTGGTTGTATTCTCCTGCAAACTAAAAGGTCCTTGAGGGCCTTATTTTTGTATTCCCATCACAAAGGATGATGTCTGGCACATAGCAGACACTTAAATGTGGGCTGAATTGAATTAAACTTGTCGACTATTTCCAGACTCTTAAAAAATGCCCTCCTTCACCTAAGACCTAAAACGGCTTTCAGGCAGCGTCAGAAAAATTGTCTGGGAACCCTACATGAATGACTCCCTTGCTGTTCCTGGAAAAAGTCCGACTATATAAAACTAACTTATTCCTTAGTCATGACTTTATTTCCTATAGATTGACTATAAACAATGCTCTGAAGTGACCAATTCAATAGAAATAAGGATAGACATGCCTGATAAGCCTTTTATTACTCTATTGTTCCATTCCTTGAAAAGTGGAGGAAACTAGAGAACCATTATTTCAGTTTCTCATAACTCCCCTTTCAACCCTTTCCACCCCAGCCAAATAAAAAGAATCAAAAGCTGCCTTTTTCATTTTCTCTGTTTACTATTGTGACTCATAAAAGTCAAAGAAGGATATTTTAAAGTACAAGAATTTGGTGAAAATATCACATTAGGTCATGTTTCAACACCAAATTAAGTCTAATATATGGGACTTATCAGAGACCCAAGCTGAAGCCAAACAAGTACACCATTTTCCTATCATTGTTTAGTGTGTCTACGCCCCTCCTAGATCCTTAATAAACTGCAGTTCAAACTTATCCAACTTTGAGAGTCCTAAGTATTTGCAAAAGAGTGAACATGCCCATAGGATCACAGATATAGAGCTAGGAGCTACTTTAGAGGGCATCCAGTCCCATTCATCCATTTCAGATAAGCAAACAGGCTTAGGAAGGTTAAGAGCCTTGTTTAAGGTCCCACAGATAGTAAGCCTCAGAGGCAGAATTTAAACTGAGGTTATCTATAAAATGAGCTGGAGGAGGAAATGGCAAACCACTCCCATATCTTTAAGGCCAAGAAAACTCCAAATGGGACACACCTGAAATGACTGAACAGCAAACCTCTGACTTAAGCACTACGGAGCACACTTCCCATTGTACCATAGTGCATCTCCTTCAGGGAGAGGAAGTGCTTCTAATTCTTGGTCTCAGATGGAAAATGAAATGCCTAGACTACAGTGAATCTCAGACCAGAAACCTACAGTTGTAACTCACAGTTTAAGGTACAGCTCCCCAGAGTCTTTGCTTTCCCCTCTCCCATAAAAGGGCTCCTCAGCCATGTGTCTGCTGAAAGTTATGTGGTTTGTAGCAGCAAAAGAAAATGTAAAACGTTCCTTTCCTCTCTCTTCCCCCCACAAGCCCAAAACAAACCAGCCACCCCAGGCATCTCCCTGCTGTGATCCTGTAGGTCTCATGTACTCACCCAGAGAAAGTTTTTCCAGGAGATAGAGATAACTCTGAAAGAAGTCATTGCGGATCGCCCTGTGAAGGATGAAGGACATGCTATGCCGACACAGCTCATCATCTGTCTTTTGCCAACGGGATCTAAACGCAAGATGGGCTCCCAGATAGGCCATGATGAGGGGAAGAGGGAGAGTGATTCTTTCTACATGCAAAGGAAGACTCCTGCCTGACCAGTTTGCAGAGTGAGTGATCTCCTTCTGCAGGAGCTTGGGGCTGTCATTTTAAATCATCTCTCAGTCCTCTGTCATTCTATATCATGGCTGAGTGTCATGGGGTGGGTGGAGATGCAGGGGAAGGGGGGTAGGAGTGAGGGAAGGGAGGCACGGAGAGGTCAGACTTTTGGCATTATCCCCAGTCTCTTGGGTGTCACCCCTTCCAGACCAGCAAGTGCTGAGCAAAGATGAAAACACAAACTGAGATGCTGCTTTATCTGTTGCTACACACACACACACACAACACACACACACACACACATACACACACACACACACACACACACACACACACACACACACACACACTCCCAACACCCTAAGGATTTGCTTTAATTTGTTCCCAGTCTTGGACTTGTTTCATTTCCATATCAAAGAGCCATGGATATGTGCCTGGAACAAAGTGAATGCTTGTTCATTGATTAATATTAAAAAGAAAAAAGTCTTTGCATACTCTTTCCATGATTTGCCCTATTCATCCTGGAAACGCTGAATCCCAGTGATGAAAGGGCCTTCCATTGGACACCTGGTCTACTCTTCTTCTACAAGGCAAGATTGGCCTCTAATCATCCCAGATAGAGCAAAAGATTTCTCACAGGCTGAAGAATTTCCAGGAGAGAAAAGTCCTTGATAAATCATCTCATTCCTAAACATTCCTCCCTGTCAAGGAACTCTTTCTATAAGTTCTGTGTACCCTCAAATGTTATTTAAACCGATTCCTTCTGCCTTTTTTTAAGGTTATAAGACTTTTTTCTCCGGTACATGCAGTCAGATACCCAGATGTTTCCAGTAGGAAAATGAACAAGAAATTAGCATATGCCTTAAGACCAAAATAAAGAAAATACCACAACAATGGCCTTTTTTTTAAGCCACCAGATTTAACCTAGTGTCTCTGTTTTCAGTTCCTTCATGAGATTGTCATGGTTTCATAGGTGGCATGCTAGGAAAGGGAAAGGAGGCAGAGACTCCCCACCTTGACCTTTGAATTCTCTGGTTTAACTTCTGTGATGTTTTAGGCCACTTTTCTGTACATCAACTTTTTTTTGACATATAAGAAAAATATAATAATACCCTCCTGTTCCCCTATACTCCTTATACAATACCAGGATAAAGGTAGTACTTCAATAAATGCTTTATCTGATCTCTAATTTACCTCTAAGGAAGGCTCATGGTCTTCAAGAGAAAGCTGATGACAAAGTAGCAAAGAAAAGATGGACAGCTCTGAACACAATGAGTAGTATTTATTATATAGGCTTTCTTGAAATGGAAATTTATTGCTGTATATTTTGAATCCTCTTGTATGTTCTGCTAAACACAAGGCGATGCTTTTTTCTTTTCTTATTTTGTATTTAAGTTTTAATATTTAATTATAATATTTTCTTTTTCATATTATGTATTTAAGTTTAAAATAAATTAATAAGAAAGAGAAAGCTGAAGACATGCTGAGGCTTTTACAACAGCCTAACCTATACCTGCTTCTTTCATATCTCTGGGACAGTATGGCATAGCATATAGAGTGGTGGTGGCCTTAAGAGACAAGAAGACTTGAGTTCAAATCCCTTTTCAGACACTTAGTCAGGCAAGCCCTTAAGCCCTTTCAGCCTCAGTTTTCTCATCTGTAAAATAGAGATGATAATAATAGCACCCGCCTTAGAGAGGTTTTGTGAGGCTCAAATGAAATAATGTAGGTAAGGGGTTTTGTACATGGAAGCTAATGACTCTATGAGAGAGCAAGAATCAGTCAAACAGAATCAAAAGAGTGAAAAAATAGATGAAGATGTAAAATACCTCATTGGTAAAACAACTGACCTGGAAAATCAATACAGCAAAGACAATTTAAAAATTATTGGTGTACCTGAAAATCACAATGAAAAAAAAAAAAGCCTGGACGATATCTTTCAGGAAATCATAAAGGAAAACTGTCCTGAGGTCCTAGAACCAGAGGGTAAAATAGTCATAGAAAGAATCCACTGATCACCTCCTGAAAGAGATCCCAAATTGAAAATGCCAAGGAATATAGTAGCTAAATTCCAAAATTACCAGGTCAAAGAGAAAATACTGCAAGCAGCCAGAAAGAAACAATTTAAATATCATGGAACCACAGCCAGGATTACTCAGAACCTTGGAGCTTCTACATTAAAAGATATAACCGTCATTGTCTCGAGTGCTAAGAATACAAAGAAAGGCAAAAACATGCTTTCTGTCTCACATTCCAATGGGAGATGGAACACGCAAATAACTCTACATGTAAGATACAGACAGTGAGTAACGGGTTTGCTTATGATCACACAGCTAGTATATATCAGTGGTGGTTTTAAACACAGGTTCCCTGATATGAAATTCAAAGAAGTTTAGGATACAGGCTCAAGCTAACAGTGAACATATGAAAACAATGACTATAGCTATTAAATAGTATTTTAGTCACTGTTGGATTTCTGAGCATCTAGGAGAGTGCCTTTCACAGAGTAGAGGCCCCTAATAAAACCTTGTTGAATGCAAATTGACATGTTAAACACAATTTGAAAATCCTATGATCTTACAAATGATATTTTTTCAGTTATTTTCACTTTTAAAAATAACTGCTTTAAGTTCAAGGTATTTTTGATTAAAAAAGAAGCAATTGGTTTATTTCCTAATTCTGAATGTTTTATTTAAATATTGAAATTTGTCTTGTTCCTTGCATTTGGCAAATTATCTCCATCAACAAAAGACTGTGATCTTGGCAAACTTTCCATTGACCTAGGCCAAGCAATGGGCCTAGTTTTTTTTAAAAAATCACACTCTACCTCTGGATAAAATTTAATCTTGTTTTCTTTTTCAGGCAGAAAGTAAATTTCATTGTTTTTATCAAGGTTGGGCAAAGATGAAATATGTTCTTGGTTCTAGTCACAAAAATAACAATGAACTAATAACTTATATTTTTTCCACTAATTTAAAAATGACCTTTACATTTCATTTGTATTTAAGTTACTCAAAAGAATACACTGAATGTCTTCAAACACAGAACCATAAGCATTTCAATCACTATGTGATACCACTAAAAATTAATATTCCCCACTTCTAGGTGGTGGGTGCCCTGTGGGCATTGGCTCAAGGATCTCATGTTTAGATTAGAGAAGAGAATGCTTGGTGGGAGGAGAAAAACACAAACGATTGCTGTTTTCAAATATTTGAAGGCCTCTCATGTGGAAGGAGGAATAAACATTTATTCTAAATGGTTCCAAAAGGCAGAATTAGGAATAATGCCTCAAAAATGCAGAGGTTAATTTAGGCACAGAGGAAAGGAAACACTTCCTACCGATTAGAGCTATCCAAAAATGGAATGGGCTATCTTTGGAGGTAGTTAGGACTATTTAGATTCTTTCCAGATCTTCCCTAGATCTGGATATCTGGATACTATCCCTCTCAATGGGTTAATGTAGTTAGTCAAACGTAGTTAGTCAAAGATGTAGTTAGTCAAAGATGTAGTCAGTCAAAGATGGCATCAATGAAAGTAACCTTTGATTGCCTAGCAGGCTGCTGGGAAGTATAATTGTCAACACCCTGTACAAGAAAGAAAGAAAGAAAGGAAGAAAGAAAGAAAGAAAGAAAGAAAGAAAGAAAGAAAGAAAGAAAGAAAGAAAGAAAGAAAGAAAGAAAGAAAGAAGGAAGGAAAGAAAGAGAAAGAAAGAGAAAGAAAGAAGAGAAAGAAGGAAGAGGGAAAGAAAAAAGAAAGAAAAAAAGGAAAAAGATCTGGTTAAGTCTAATCTGCCAGTCAATAGATTATTGGAATAGCCTTCCAGTTGTCCTTCCTGCCAACTGTCTCTCCCTATTCCATTTCATCCTCTGCTCATCCATCAAAATGATCTTCCTAAAGTGCAGGTTTGACCATGTTAATTTCCTTACTCAATAAATTCCAGGAGATCCTTTTTGCCTCCAGGATAAAATATAAAATCTTCTCTTTTGCTTTTAAAGCTCCTACACTTTTCTAGTTTCCTTACACCTTACTTCCTGCCATGTACCCTTTGAGCCAATGACAATGGCCTCCTTGCTGTTCCATGAATAAGACACTCCATCTCTTATCTCTGGGCATTTTCTCTGACTGTTCCCCACGTCTAGAATATTCTCCCTCCTTGTCTTTACCCAGTGGCCTCCCCGGCTTCCTCCAAGTCCCAGTTAAAATCCTCCCCTCTACAGAGGAAGCCTTTCCCAACCTCTCTTAATTCTAGTGTCTTCACTCAATTAATTATTTCCTATTTATCCTGTACATAGCATTTTTGAAAGGAACCAGAGAAGCCAGGATGCAAAAATGAGGAAGAAGAGAATTTCAGGCGTGGAGACAGCCAGTGAAAATGCAGAGTTGGAAGATGGAGTGTCTTGTTCAAGAAGCAACAAAGAAACATTTGTTTGCTTGTTGACTCCCTCATTAGACTTTGAGCTGCTTGAGGACAGGGGCTGTCTTTTTCATATTTTGCATGTGGGTATGTAGTCATAGTGATTAGCATAGGGCCTAGCACAAAGTAGGTACTTAATGAATGCTTATTGACTGATATTACAACCTGGCCCCCTTCTACCTTTCCAGTCTTACACCTTACTTCCCACCCACCAATTTAATATAATCATTATGATTCAGTGACAGTCTTTTTTGCTGTTTCTTGAACAAGATACTCCTCCCAACTCTGCATTTTCACTAGCTATCTCCATTCCTGGAATTCTTTCCCTCTTGGTCTCTGCCACCTGGCTTCTCTGGCTTCTTTCAAGTCTCAGCTGAAATTCCACCCTCTGCTAGAGACTCTTCCCAGTCTTCTTTAATGTTAGTGTCTTCTCTCTGAGATTATCTCTAATTTATCCTCTACATGTCTTGTTTGTGTATAGCTGTTTGCATGTTTTCTCCCCTTTACTCCATTAGATTATGAGCTTTTTGAGGGTAGGGACTGTCTTTGCCTTTCTTTGGATTCCTAGCCCATAGCAAAGGGTATGGTACATAGTAGGAGCATAATAAATACCTATTGACTTGACTATCTGCCTATTTATCTTGGATATCATCTTCCTATTAGCTATTTTTTATCCTGCCATTTCCAAGCCAAAAATAAATCCCTTTAGAAGAGACAAGAAAGACCAAATCAAAGTTGAGAA